GGGGAGGAAGGGGAGGAGGAGGGAGGGGCAGTGATTGTGATCCTTAAGGACTGTAGGGGCTGGGGATTTAGCTCAGCGGCAAAAGCGCCTGCCTGACAAGCACAAGGTCGTGAGTTCAGTTCCTGGTACCGGAGAAAAACCAAAAAAAAAAAAAAGGACTGTAGATGTGGACTAAGAAAAACAAAAATTATGAAAAGCAGCCACAGCAAACGTCTGGGAGAAGGGAGGGTCGCAGAGGGTGACAGCCAACGACTCGCCTTACCATCGCGAGGGGGACGATGCCCACCAGGTCCTTCTGGCTGATGAAGATCTCGGACACGGCGACGTCGGAGCTGCCCCTCCGCGGGTACTCCACCTGCCACGCGATGGGCTGCGTCCCCGACAGGCTGCTGAAGCTGGAGATTTCGAAGTTCATCTGCACCACCTCGCTGAACAAACCGCTGCTTCTGGAAGACGCCATGGGAAAGGGCGTTGAGCTGACCCCGCTCAGAAAGACGCTGGACCACAGCCAACCCGCACTGCCAGCCCGAGGGGCTCCTCTCGGTGAGCTGCAGGCTGCAGACCACCTGGGACCATCGCCACCTGCCAGCTGGGGAGCAGCAGCTGGGTCGCAGCTCCCACAAGTTAGGGATCTGGGCAGGGTCTTAACACTGCATGTTAACCATGTGGGCCTCACGAGGCCCTCGGGTGAGTTTATGTCACCTCCCTGCTCCTCCTCCTCCTGCTCCTCCCCCTCTATTTTTTTCCTTTCTTCTTGTACTGGGGACTGAACCCATGGCTTTTTCACTGAGCTACATCCCCGGCTCCTTTTTTGCTTTTTAAGTTTTTAATTTTTATGTTTTGAGATAGAGTCTTGCTAAGTTGCTAAATTGTCTGGGTTGGGCTTGGACTTGCAGTTCTCCTGCCTCAGCCTCCCAGCGTACTAGGATTACCAGCATGCACCACCGCGCCCAGCTTTACTAGCTCTTCTGACAGTGCCTTCGTCCAATTTCTGATACAGCATGCACCTGGCCGACCGATCTTTGAACTATGAGGACCCATTCTCTGCTCAACTTCACAGGGGTTGGCAGATGCTACATGTGACCCTGTTAGCTGCTCTCCTCTCCTTGGGGGGCTGAGGCGTGTGCACCCCATCCCCAGCCTTCCACGCAGCTAGATGCAGGCTGGCCACAGAGGTGGGGGTGGGCCAGGGGGTGTGAGGCAGCCACTGTGAAGAGTTTGGGGAGATTCCTAGCGAGATGAGTACCCTAGTTGTTGGTGGCAGCTGCCTGTGGATCAGGCCCTTGTACCAGGCAACTGGCGTGTGTGTGTATGTGTGGGGCGGCTCCCCAGCACCTTCCGCAGAGGCTCAGCGCTTCTCACACCCACCCTGTCCCTGAGCACTGTCCCTGGCAGGAGGTTCCTACACCCGGTCCGGCAGCTGTCTCTGAGATTCTGTGTCACCTCCTGCCCTGCAAGGAGAGCTCTTCGCTCAGGACCCTTAGTGAGTGGGGCCCAGTCTCAGACCAACCCCACACAGCCCAGGGCTCCTGGACCCAGGTTCGGCAAGCTCAGCCCTGTGGACTTTGGGAATGAGGGATGACCCAGACTTTACAGCTTTTCGATGAAGAAATGAAGCCCCAGGAAGGAACAGTGGCTGCTCGTGGCCTCCCAGCTCGTGAGGGGAGAGCTGCCCGAGGCGGAGCACCTGCACGCTCAGAGCAAAGGCCCGCACAGCACCCATCGCGAGGCCCCGCGAGAGCACGCGGACAGCGCGCCGTGCCCTCTGGCTCGGCCCAGCAGCCCCTGTTTCAGGAAGTCACATTTTATCAGGGCACAGCCCTGTCTGCTCATTTGCATTTTTTCTGCGGCTGCTTTTGTGGTCCAGAGCGTGAGTAATTGTACCAGGCAGCGTGTCGCCTGCAAGTCCTAGGATCCTCTCCGGACCTGTGTGGGCAAAGTCACTGGCATTTGCTGGGCAGAGAGCAGGAGGCAGCCGGCCTGGTACAGCTGTCAGGACAACGGATGGGAAATGAGACAGACGGTGCTGTTGACCTGAGGCTGGGTTTGGAAGGTGGGCCAGGGTCCCAGGAGCCTCAAGGGCCCGGGTGAGACCCCCGGGGTGCTCCTCTGTGCCTCTGCCGAAGACCACTGTGCGCAGTGGGTCTCTGGCCGGCCCCATCTCTGGCTGGCTTCTCCTAGGAAGGCTACCTGTTCCCAGGCAAAGCGAAGCAGGTTTCTCAGGCTTAAAAACAGCCTCCTATGTGCTGGTACCGGCGTGGACAGTGGAGTGGAGTCCTGCCTTTGCTGGGTGATCACCAGCCAGGGCGCCTCCGCAGTCTTGGGGCTTTCTCAGGAGCAGGCACATATTCACCACACAGCTCCGGCATGCTTGTGGGCGGGGCGGGAATAACCCAGCCCAGGGGCACGAAGCTTTCTTGGGTGTTCTCTGAGCCTGAGGTGGGGGACCAGAGGACCATGGCTTCTGAGACACCCCATATCTTCCTGGGAGGGGAAACGGAGGCAAGGTCTGGACTGTCCAGCCGTGGGCTGCAGATCGTGAGAGTGAATTTCTGATCTTGGGAGGTGAGGGATGGTCCTAGAGAATCTGGGGTTTCTTATAATACCCCTGGATTTTTAAATATAAAGCTCTTGACCTTTGGGGCATGGTGTAGCTTAAGGCATGTTCTGCAGCTCTCCTGCCCCTGGCAGCTCCTCCTGCCTCTCTAAGATGCTTCCTCTAATCCTCTGGGGGGCTCTTCACACAATCTGTGACCCTGAGGAGGATGCTGCCTGTGCTAAAGAAGACATGGCATGGTCCCCACCACCCAAACAGTCTGAGGGGTGCAGCAGCGATAAATGGGGGCTGGGGTCCCCCCCCACCACCCTGCACCCTCACCACAGAAGAGCAGCTCTGGTCTGAGAGGCTCAAGGCCCCCAGGAGGGGTTACCAAGCATTGAGGAGAAAGGGAGGTGTGAAGGGAAGGCTGGGAAGAGGCCGGGAGAGGAAGGCCGAGGAGGAAGGGAGGGGGAGGAGAGAATTTAGAAATCCAAGCTCACACGAATGCTCCCCATGTGGGGAGCTTTCAAACAGCCTGTGACAGCCTGTGTCTGGATGAGCCCCGAAGCCTCACACATGCATAGGTGGGGCTCTTGAGGGCTGGCTGGATCTAGGGTGTGTGACGCTGCTGATAGAGCAAGAGAGACTGCATTTTCTTTTTTAACTCCATATTAAGAGCAGTCACTTAAGTTCACTTAAACTGTAGTTGACCCCACCCTTCACCCTGCGCCTTGGTTAGTTATCGACCCACTTAAAGGAGCGCAGTCATAAAGTGGGAACAGAACAAACAGGACGGATTGGGAATTGGGCTAAAAGTTAGCCCACAGTGGTCATCTGGCATCCAGCTGTCTGACAGCTTCTGGGAGAAGTAAACTTTGTGATAATTGTGTGACATTCTTGTGAGATTCCAAAAAATGAGGTAATGGCTACGATGGAAACCTAATATGTACTTAAATTGAAGATGAGACCCAGACTGGGTGGACACCTTCTCTGGCTCCTGGTTAGAGACTGTCTGTCAGCCGGCTCAATAAAGCTTTGTTTGTCCCTGCCTTTTTGGTCTCTTGTGAGTGCCTCTCTTGTTGAACTCACTTGCCGCATCACTGGGATTCAGGGTGTGTGGTACTAACTCAGTCTGTGGACTAGAATTAGCAGAGCTCTGGGTGTGGATAGTGGGAAGCCCCACCCTGTGTGTGGGTGGCAGCAACCAGAAGGCGTGTAGCCTGCATGGGCTCACTGCTTGCTGCTTCCTGACTGCCCTGCCATGGACTGCTTCTCCCTGGCAAGGCCCCTCTGCTATGCTGCCCTGCCTCAGAGCCAGCCAGTTATGAACTGAAACCTCTATGAACTCTGAGCAGAAATAAACCTTTCCTCTTTTAATTTGTAGGTGTCAGGTATTTTGTCCCAGCAATGAGAAAAGTAAGACAGACTCCTTGAGGTCAAATCCTGGCCTCCTCAACTACTGGCTGGATCAGTGTGAGCAACTCTGCCCCCTTTTTCCTATTTACTAAACCTTCCCAATTCATAGCATGAATGCAAGGGTTAAATGAGTGAACACATCAGAGGCACCTAGAACAGCGTCTGTCACCAGCAGTCATCAACAAATATTAGCTTTTCTTGTGCTCTGGAAGGCTGGATGAGATTCCCCAGCATGACAGCGAATGGCTGCAGGGTTGGCTGGTAAATCCCCCTCAAGGACATGCCATCTGCCATCTGCTGGGAGCGGGACACATTCGGATCTGTGCACCTCACATTTCCCCTGATCCCGTCTGCCAGACAGTGTCCTCAAGCAGACACGGCTGGCGGATGAGGACCAAGCAAAGGAGGAATCTGTGTTCCATTCTGTCTGTGGCCAGCATCCCCCGCCTCCCCACAGACCAAATGTTTGAAAAAATTTCGCCTCAAGGAGTAATAATTTAAATGCTTAAGGGACTCCAGAGAGCACCCGAGACCCACACTTGCTGAAGTCAAGAGTGTGGATTTATTGCAGTAACTCTTGAAAGAAATTTTCAAAATTTGCTTCACAAAAGCTCTCGCTGAAAAGAAAAATAGGTTCCCACAATAAAGTCTGGAACCTTATGTACAAATCCTTTGTCTCCTGGACTCTGTCTGGTAGGAGAATGGAGCTTAGGGCTGCGCTGAACAGCTGAAAAGGACTTTAACATCCCCCTCCCCAGCCCCTCTCTGGGAGAGATTTTTAGTGCCAGAATCCTCAGCCACGGCGGACAGCTCATCGCCTGCTGAAATGAGAGACACAGGGAATGAACTTCATAATAGGGAAGCGGCTCCCAGGGACCGGAGTGGTTTGACCCCGGCTTTGCTTTGTTCTTCCCACCTCGCGTGATTTTCACCTCCCGGGCTCAGCCTTCCGCGCGGTCTCCACCCCGAGCCCGTGGAGCTCTCCACGGTGCTGAATCGCATCGCCTTGCTCTGCAAATTGCAGCTGACAGAAAACTAACCAAGAAGAGAACTGAACAAATGCCCCAGAATCACCAGGAGGAGCGGACAAAAGGAAACAGAAAATAGCCAGGAGGCTACAATGCTAGCGCCTCAGACAAAAGCAGCTGTAGGGGAGCAGTGTCCCCACGCCAAGGCACACATCCCCCTGTCCTTGATTCTTGCACCAGCAACTTCTCCCCTCCCCTGCCAGCCAATACGGAGGGCAACGAGGGAGGACCTGGCTGTTTCTGGTGGGAGTCTTTCCTGCTGTTCCCTCCTCTCTGAAACCAGCACTCAGGACAGATTCGGGCCCAGGACCCTGCGGGGCAGTAGGAGGAGCGAGGTTCAGGGAGGCTGCCCTGTTTCCAGCGCACTTTGGATTGGGCTATGAGTCCGGATTTAAAAGATCAACATTTGACTTCTCTTTCCCTGACCCTAAAGGCTGACATTCTCTAGGAACAGGTGGGAGAT